AAAATGATTACTTAAGCAACTTTACATTTATTAAACCATAATAACATTTCCGAGAGTTTAATTGCATAATAAACCTTTAATTTTGCAGGAGCATTCCTTTGCATTACCTTTTTATTTATTTATTTTTTAGAATTAGCATAATCTATTTTCATAATTCAACAGATGTAATTCCTCTGTTAATCACATTATTTCTGTTTCTTAAGGTTTGCAGTAACCTGATTCATGACAAATAATAATCTTGTTCATTACACTCAAAGGACTTTTACGTTGAAATTAAACGACTTCCTTTTAAAGTGAAATAACTTCCTTTTACTGTGAAAATTCATGCATACACACATATGAAATCACTTGCATATATGTATATACACAACTAACTGTATATATGTTTGTGAATTTTATTTTGTATTTTTGCACAAGTGTCATTTGGGTGTTTATGCACACATCAAGTTTATATTCTTATGTGAGAGTTTATGGGTGTATATGCATAGATCAAGTTTGTATGTATATGTGAGTGTGTATAGGTGTGTTTGCATGCAGCAAGTTTATATGTATGTGCGTGTGTTAATGTGGGTGTTTATGTGAGGATCGAGTTTATATGTATGTGCGTGTGTATTTGGGTGTATTCATGCGTCAAGTTTATATGTATATACACAAGTTTCATCCATGTTGTTTTGAACATCCAGTAGTATAGGTGTATATGCGAGTAATTTATAGGTGTATATACACGTGTTTTATGTGTTGATAAGCAAAGTTTGATTTAAATCCTATACGGCACCTCATACGTTGACGCTCCTCATCGAGTTTCTCTTCCTGTTTCCCTTCGCCATTGTGTGTGTGTGTGTGTGTGTGTGTGTGTGTGTGTGTGTGTGTGTGTGTGTGTGTGCGTGCGTGCGTGCGTGTCTGAGCAGTTCGCTCTGAGTTCTCTGTGCGGCAGTGATCTGTCTGAAACCTTTTGTTCAAAGTAATCCGGTGAGATACTCTGTTAAATACGGTAATAGGACGGTAACCTGCATTAGCGGTGGCTGATTGTGTAATACCTTTCTCCAACCCTGTTTCAAAGTCATCTGGTGAGATACTCTGTTAAATACGGTACTAGGACGGTATCATGTGTTAGCTGTGGCTAATATTTACCTTAATGCTGAATGATCAACGGGAAGGCCCTTTTTCTTTTGTCCAGTTTTGTGGTTAGTTATGGAGGTTAGAATTGTATGCTTTATTTATGGAATTTTATTTTTGGTATAGGTAAGAGGTTTAATATTAGGTAGCGTACCTTGTTTTGTTTGTTGTTTTGGCCTTTTTGTTCCCTGATTCTGATTTTGATCTTTTTGTTTAATAAATCTGATACCCCTTATTGACAACTTGGCCTCTGTGTGTGTGCTTGGGGGAACAGGAACGGGGACTCCGGGTGACCACTTTTTATAGCGGTCATCCTTAAACTTATGTGCGTAGCGGGGTGCATCCGCTACGTAACAATATCAAACACACCTGCCTGTAATTATCAAGTGGTGTTTAGGTCCTAATTAATTGGTTTAGGTGTGTTTGATATGGATAGCAACTGGAATCTGCAGGAAGGTAGATCAGCAAATGAACAGCAAAAAACACGACATAATTATTTTAAAGTTTTAAGTAATTAAAAACTGTGTCAAATCTCAATAAAAAGTTTAAAATAATTATAAAAAATAAAAATAAAGTTGGCAACATCGAAAAACCAAAGGATCCAATCTTTTATTGTTATAATTATCTCATGACAACAAACTTTTATTGTTTCTAATATAAATTCATAGGTGGAAACACTGCTCTGAAAAATACTTGGCAACAAACTCACAACCTGTGACCTGACAGTGGAGCTTTTGTGTGTGGATGGCTATGTGTATCATGTTTTTGTGATTCCCTGTGATGATGTGCACATGTTACCTTACAGAGATGATGGAATTTAATTTTGGCTTAGTTGCCAGAAAGATACATACAACTGTTAGCATCTGTACATTATGGCAGTATGCAATATCCAATATCCAATAAATACATATACTTAGACAAAAGTAATGTAAGAAGTTATATGAGGAGAGGCTAACTAGCTAACAATGTAGCTTTCAAGTACACAGTTCAAGATAACAACAATATAACTTAAAACACAGCCTTATTATAGAAACCCTCAAAAACATTTGAACACATTTTATTTACTCGTTGTAGATTCTTATTTAAAGCCTAATACATATCAGACTCTACATCTGAATTGATGGACAGAGAATAGAGCACACTCAGCAGTAAACAAATCAAACACCGGGCTCCCTTAAAGGGCCAGCATTTTCTGAAAACTCTTTCTAACACCGTTGTGTTAAGAAGAAGACAGACAGCCCGTGGGAGTGTGTGGTGATGCCTAAATCATTAATTTCTGCCTTTAAAATGCACATCTCTATAAATAGCAACATAAACCATCAGAGAAGATGGGACAGTAATGGTTGAACAGTAATTTGCTATTTATTGTCAGTTACTATCTGTAATGAGTACATAAAGTAAATTACTGTAATTTATTTTTTGCACTACACAATTTCACACAAAGTCTACTCCTTTTACAGTAAAATAATGTGTTAATAAATAATAAATGTTTCCTTTTATTACAGCAAAACACTGTAGATTGTGCAGTAAATAACTGTAAAATAGCCAGAGTAACAGTGCAGTTATACTAATTAAACACACCTGATCAAACTAAATCTAAAGGTAGTGTGTTGAAGCAGGGCTGGAACTAAATTCTGCTGGGCTGTGGCCTTTCAGGAGTTTGACATCCCTGGTACATAGCATATTTTCAAAGGAATTGCCTACATTTATCACAATCATGCACATATCATTGAATAAAAACAATAAAAATACAAAAACTTCATCCAAAGCAAATAAATAAAAAAATAATAATAATAATCTGATCCTCATGTTGTTCCAAACCTATAGTAATATATATTACTATAGGTAATATATAGGTCGATATCTTTACCTTTTAATTAGCTCTGTGACATTGACATTGGTTGACTCCTGATACTCAATGTTAAAAACATAAAAGGAACCAAAGAAAACACAGAGATGGCTGCAGAGAAATTTATCTTATCATCAATGCATTGCCTCACTTTCTCCTCAATACTGACCATACACATACCAAAACTGAACTATATATATATATACATATATATATATATATATATATATATATATATATATATATATATATATATATATATATATATATATATATATAGCAACATAAAGCATCAGAGTACATGGGGTAATAATGGTTGAGCAGTAATTTACCATTTATTGTCACAGTAACTATCTGTAATGGGTACATAAAATAAATTACTGTAATTTATTCTTTGCACTACAAAATTTCATACATATCCTGCTCCTTTTACTGTAAAATACTGTTTCCTTTTATTACAGCAAAACACTGGCTATTTTACAGTTATTTACTGCATAATCTACAGTAAGGGTTAACAGTGTACGTTAAAGCCTATAATCACTATAGCCTGACAGATGAACAAATAAAATTAAAACGTTATGAATAAATAGTATATCTCGTAAGATTCTGCATGATCCAATATAGTTTTATTTAATACATTTTTTTACGTTTTAATTACATTTTGGGCATGAAATCCACGCTAAATCCACCCTTCTGATGGGATCAGTTTAATCCAGGTTTTTTGGATCAAAATGATCCAGATCCTACAAAAAAGGTCTGAAAAACCCAAACTATCCAAATCAAAACCAAGATTAGATTACGTGATCTAATCTGATTATGTAATCCGTTTTTTCTTTTGAAAAACCCATTTTCAAGATTTGATCCAAACCCTTATCCAAAATCCTAGTGGATTACTTTTGAAAAACCGGGCCCTGGAGGTTGTGAAATCCGGATTTGCTGCTCGGATTTGCTTTCACATGGCATTGCCATTTTCACAATTTTTTTAAAATTTATTAATGTTTTTTGTATTTGCACAGAAAATAAAAAATTTAGAACAAAATTTTAAAATTAGCAATTTCAAGCCCACATATTGTCATTGTTTAAGTATTTATGGCCAAAAACTCTAAACATGATATAAACATATCTAGATGTATTATGTTTGAATTGACCTATGCACAGTTATTCAACTTGCGAAGGGAAAAAAACAAACGTTTTTGTGTGTGTTTGAAAAACATCTAACTGCTTATAAGGTGGCATGGAGGCTCAGTGGTTAGCACTGTTGCTGCACAGCAAGGTGGTCGCTGGCTTCCTAGCGGGACCAAGCTGGGTCACTTGGCGTTTCTTTGTGGAGTTTGCATGTTCTCTCTATGTTCATGTGGGTTTCCTCCGGGTGCTCCAGTTTCCCCCCACAGTACAGGTAGGGGAAACTGAATTGAAGAAGCCACAGTCTAAATTAGCCATAGTGTATGTGTGTGAATGTGAGTGTATAGGAGTTTACTTGGTTGTGACTGGAAGGACATCTGCTGTGTAAAACATATACTGGATAAGTTAGCAGATCTTTCCGCTGTGGCAACCCCTAATTAATAAAGGGACTAAGCCGAAGGAAAATGAATGAATGAATAATTATCTATAAATCAAGTCATCAAGTAGCCATATAGATTTGCACTGCCTACCCAAATTTAGCCTTCTTTTGGCCAGACGTTTAGAGTCTATTAGACAGCATTTAAACGTCTCATTGCTTGGTGAGATGTCTGAAGAACAAATACATGTGGCAGGGAAGTGTCTGTTATTTTAAATATTTATTTTCAGAGTGGAAATGTGATGTCATTTTACAGCTTAAAATGATGTTTATCATCAGCTGTTTTGTGTTGGTGACTTTTTTGACACGTTTATTGTGTCAATATGCAGCCTCTAGTCATCTTTTTAACTGTAAGAATAGCATGACACAAGAAATGCATTGCATACTTATCATACATGACAGAAACAAGATTCACAGTACTATGTAAATATGTGCTCTCCTAGAATTGTTTTTGTCAAATAATACTCTTCACAAGAGTTCAATTAATGCATATGTTTTATTGTTTGTTTTGAGAGGAGCCACCTCCTGCTCAAGATTTCCTGCCTCAAACAGCCTGAAACGTTCCTCTCAAGACAATAACATGTAGGGTGGCTGTTCTTCAGTTCTCCAGGTTGGTGTCCTAAAATAAAAACAGCAATTAGTTTATCAAAAGTCAATCCAAATCTAATATTCTCTAAGCTAACATCCATAGTCTTGTGTTTGAATTAACCCTCCCAAAATACTCTGCTTAGGCTTCATACCTTGAACCATTCGTGGAGAAGAATCTCTTTTAATTGAATCCGCTGCTCTGGCTTTTGCTGGAGACAGCAACTAATCAACTGACAGCATTCTGTGAAAAACAGTTGAAACATCTGTTTACCTTGAACTTCACACCTCCTTTGATGTTGCATGTAAGAGTCTTTGAAATAAAGAGCTTACCATCGGACAAGCCAGCTTTGGAGAAGTTGTTCTCATTGATCATGTGCAGTTCTTGAGGGTTGGGAAAGTCCTCACACACCAATACAAACAAGAGGATGCCAAGGGACCAGACTGTTGCCGGCTTCCCATTGTATTCACCCGTTTCCTCAAACTCTGGGGGGCAGTACTCAAGGGTGCCTAAAGGTAAAAGATTTTTGCATCAATTAGCATTTGTTGCTATAAATTCAGAATATCGTTTTTCACAGCTTAAGGGTTAATACATACCGGCAAATGTATCGTAGGGTAATTTCTTGAGAAGGTCTCCACACCCAAAGTCTATTAATTTGACTTTATGAGTCTCCTTGTTGATTAGTAGATTTTCAAGTTTGATATCGCGATGTAGAACACCATTGCGGCAGCACATGTATGCAGCTTGAGTTGCCTGCTGCATAACAACACGCGCTAAACCTTCACTTATGGATCCTCCATAGCTTTCTGTGAAAGCATATAGGTCCTCACAGGGTGAAGGGTATTCCAACACCATTATATAATGGTCCTCCTGGTCCTGCCAGTCCAGAAGCTGGATTATTTCTGGAACGCTGGATACTCCATGGGCGAGGATGAGAAGTGCAACTTCAAGAGGAAAGGGCTCTGAATGACCCGACTACAGGAAATACATTTTTTATGATGTTTAGATAGATATATCTTTTATAGATTATGAATTGAATCATAATTTCACAAAATTTCGACAACAGTAGCTTGTCTTATGAGAAATCACTTACGATACGTATGTATTCCACATCTTCCGTCTTTGTGACAAATTTCACTGCCACCTAATAAACAAGAAATAAGCAAAGTGTATGTAAGAATGATTGTACAGCTAACATATTGTAATTGTTACTATTTATCCTATCCAGAAAAATGAAAGGCACCTTTAAGTCATCGTGTAGACGTCGCCCCTTGTACACAGTTCCAAAGGATCCTTCACCCAGCATGTCATCGATCAGATAGTGGCAAGAATTGATGACTATTAAAACAAAACCAAGGTTAAGTAATATGAAATATCAACCAGTGTAAAACAGGACAAAATGTTTTACTTATTCAGTGTACATTTTTTGAAAATGAGGTCTAAATGTTGAATAAATAAGCTTTAGTTTTACCTATTGCCAAAAATGTATAACTTAAGACTGGTTTTGTGGTCCAGGGTCACAAATGGAAAGATTAAAATGGCCTGATATAGTATTGCAGGTGTGTGTGTGTGTGTGTGTGTGTGTGTGTGTGAGTTTAAGGGACAGTCAACTTACCCTGACTTGTCATCTTTCCATTATTCTCTATTTGTTTTGAAACAGAGGCCTGTGTGCAGACTGGAGTTTGACCACCATTGATGCTCCAGTCTGACGTTGTGTGCTGTGAAATCTGAGGGAAATTGGCACTCCCCTCGGAAGCATCGGGGACTGGAATCTCAGTGGCATTGTTACAACAATCAGAAGTGGATGAGTGAAATGGAGGCTGGGTGACATCAATACTCCAGACTGACACTTTGTGTACCGGAGTCCGGGTAGCGTCAGTACTCCAATCTGATGTGGTGCGTGTTGGAGTTTTGATCTTATCAATGCTCCAATCTGACATGGTGTGTGCTGAAGTCTTAGTGAAATCATTGCTCCACCTTGATGTGGTGCGTGCTAGAGCCAGGCCAGAATCAATGCTCCAGTCAGATAAGGTGTGAGCTAAGCTTTCGGCTTCATCACAATAGTCAGGACTAAGCAATGGAGTCTGGCTGATGTCAAAGTTCCAGTCGAATGAAGTCTGAGCAGTATTGCTGCTCAGAACTGGAGAACGGAGGACATCAGGTTGAACAGTAAGATGTTTCTTTACTGTTGGATAGACTTCAGGGTCACTGGCTGAAGGTTCCTGAAGATTGAGCTCTACAGTATGAATGGCCTGCTGTAGAGATCCGTCACCTGAAGAGGAGGAAGGTTGTACTTCAGGTGGTGCTGCAGTTGCCCCAGTGTCCTGAGCCTCTCCATCAACCTGAAGTGTACTATTTTTTTCAGCAGCTCTCAGACAGGAGAACCACCGCCACAACTTGAACCTTCTTTTCTTTTTACGGTTGGCCTCCTTTCTCTTTTTATTTTTCCCCTCACTCGCACTATCTTCACCTACGCCAACAGGATGTTTATGAGCTTCCACCAAATTGGTGAGCTGTGGCGGTGCATCGTGATGGTAAACGTGCACACGCTCAAAATCATTGTTTGCCTTTTTGCAACGACAATTACGCTGACCCATCGCTCAACTAGTTTAACCGCAGAATGCCAAAGTCAGAGTTGCATTCGCATTCTCTTAGCTATGATGTCACCGTTTCGAACATTCACATTCAATTCTAAATGTGACGCAGGCTGGGCCGTTTCTGTGGAGCGTTTCTGTGGCCATTTGAAAGTGCCATATTTTTTTTTGCATAAAGTATATGCCTTATAATCAATCAATAACTGATCACACATACTCATAGCCTGTATGCAAGCGGCTGCCCGGTAAACAGGCATAGACCAGCGTTACGCCTTCATGAAATTAATTCTGCGTCAGTTTTACAACAAACTAAAACTCGAAATGAATTCAAATAAACAGTTGTAACAATAAAAAATCATTAAAAACATTTGTTTTTCACTATTTTACTTTCACTAGTATACATTATATTACATATATTTATTTATAACAAAATTCGAATGGACCTAAATTTACCAAATGCTTTAAAACGTCTGAATCTCTTTAATATAGGATTGTAAAATGCTAGACACTTCTATTTACTTCGTTATTATTTCTTTTGCACAATTTATCAATCAATTTATCATTATCTATCCGCATCTGCAACATGGATATTCGCACCCTAGGAAAAAAAAACCTATAGAGGACGAAACCTTCAAAAACTATAAATAAATAAGTAAACAAACAAATAAATAAATGAATAAATAAATTCATAAATTCCTGCATAAATAAAACAATAAATAAATACATTGCATATTTATTTGCTTTATTTATGCAGGAAACTGTGAACTTTTTTACTCATTTATTTTTATAATTGCTTTTTTTATTTATTTAATGTTTTATTTATGTAGTAATTTATATTTTCTTGTTTATTTATGCTTTGTTTTATTTATGCAGAATTTATTTACTTATTTATTTATATATTTTCGTTTTTATTCATTTTTGTTTATGAAGACATTTATTTATTTGTTTATTTATCAGTCGTATTTATTTATTTATAAAAAAAATATTTATGCCTGCATTTATGGATTTATTTACTTATTTATTTATTTGCGTATTTATTTATTAATTATTTTATTTATACAGGAATTTATAGATTTCAATGCTTATTTATGTATATATGCACGTATTTTGTTATTCTTTCTTTTATTTTATTTTTGCAGAAATGTATGGATTTATTCTCCAATTTCGTTATATATTTGCGTATTTATTATTATTTATTTATTTTTGCCGGTTTCGTTCTTCGTATAAACTCAGCATTCTTTTGATTTTGGATGCATGCTTTTTTTTCTATTGACATAATATTTTTGCTCCTAATTTATTAATTCATTCTTTATTGTACTGCGTGCGTGTGTATATGTTTCACTGACAGTGTTGAGGTTGACATTTTGTATGGTTAAATTCTTTAATGAATGTATAAATGAATGGTTTGACTCGACCCTAATAAGTATGGCTGTTATTTTAATCCTCATGCTTAAAATATCATCAGTGACTTGCACTTCTATTTTTTGATAGGCTACATGTTTATATATATTGATAAATTGTGTATATCCATTACCACAGTGACACATTTATATTCTAGCAATCTCGTATTTTATTATTCTCTTGACGAACTTTTTTTTTTTTTTCATTTAAACTTCAAATAACAAACAGGCATTTTCAACTTCCATCGTTAAACATATATATCATTATATCCAAGCAGCATATAATAAACAAAACAGTACAAATTAATAATAACATAAAAATAAACCTTAAATAATACAAAAGAAAATACATTACATTCAGAGGGGTCAGTCCATATATGTTGACAAAAGCTTAGAGAGCTTTAAGGCACCTTTTGTTTTTACTTGTTTTATAGATTTATATAACATATTGAAATCATTTGTAAATGCTTTGAAACAAGGAGAAACTTTAACAAATCTACATTTGTGTATATAAAATTTTGCTACAATCAACATATTATTACATAGAAATTCAACTTCCTTGTTTTTCATAAAAATGCCAAATTTCACAATGTGATAGTCAAACGCAGGTGTTACATTTTTAGTTATCAACCACTAATACAATCTGTCCCAAAAGGATTTGACACTGGAACAACTATAAAAAAAGATGTTCCTGTGATTCTATATCTTTCAAGCAAAAGATACAAGCATTACTGTCTAAATGAAATCTTATTCTAAGAAATTCGTTACATGGATAGATGTCATTAAATGTTTTGAAATGTACTTCGTTCATTTTAGGTAACAAGGGAAATGACAGGTATCTTTTTCTATTTTCAACAGTGTTCGCTTTAGAAAATCTCTCAGATAAAACTTTTCTTTTAACAGGAAGAGGAAAATATTCTTTTGTCAGTAGTGATCTCAAGACCTTGTTGTTACGTTTAATATCCAAAAATGAATAATTATTTATAAACAAATCAACTAGTGTAGGTATTACAGAGGAGTATTGCACTATACCTTTAACTAAATTTCTCAAAGCTACATTAATAGCTTTGACAACCAAAGAGAATTCTCTATGTGCACAATTAAAATTGAATTTTAACCTAAAATGATCATAGCTCAACATATTACCATCATCATCCATTAAATGAATTACATTCCAAATTCCTTTGTCAAACCAGTCTTTAAAAAATAAAGATTTCCTGTCATGTAGAAAAACACACCTGTTATTCCAAATGATAACATTATGTGGAGTAAAATTGTGCTTGTACAACATCTTCCAATATAGTAACACTTGCGCATGAAAACCAGACAATTTAAATGGCAATTTTAGTAAGTCAAAATCACATTTTAGAAAAAAAGAAATTCCTCCCATCCTTTGAAAAATATGAAAAGGGATGCTAAACCAAAAAGACGGTTCACCTTTAACAAAGCTTTGTAACCATTTTAACTTCATTACTCCATTTATAACGCCAAAATCAATAACATTCAACCCCCCTTCCTCTGATAACTTTACCAAATCATTTTTTCGAATTAAATGTTGCTTATTGTTCCAAATAAACTCATAATGAACTCTGTTAATTTGTTTAATACATCTTTCTGTTACACCTAAGGAAAATGCTGGATAGATTAATCTTGATATTGCTTCCATTTTTGTTAATAATATTCTCCCCAAAATTGAAATATTTCTTTGTAACCAGCTACTTAATGTTTTTTATTTTTCTTTACAACAGTATGAATATTATTATTTTCCCTGTCCCTAAAACTTTTTGTAATAGTTATTCCCAAGTATGTTATTTAGCTTTTAATTGGGATATTATACAATGAATTTTATGTATTATTGTGAAGAGTTAGAATCTCACATTTTTTCAAATTTAAATGTAACCCTGAAGCATTAGAAAACAATGATATAGACTTTAAGGCAATCGGTATTTGATTAGAGTCCTTCAGAAATCAAGTTGTATCATCAGCTAGTTGTGTAATTACCAAGGATCTACTTTTAATGGCTTAATATTTTTAATATACAGTGCTAATAATTCGGCAGCAAGTAAGAAAGAAGGGGGCTGACTGGATCTCCCTGTCGTATTCCCCTTCTGATATCAAATCTCTTTGTAGTACCCGATTGAAGTAAAACAGCACTTGTTATTTGTTATATTGTCAACATTGAAAGAATATTAATACATTTTGTCCCAAACCCAAAATATTGTTGAGACTGAAAAACAAAAGGGTGTTCAAGTTTATCAAAAGCTTTTAGAAAATCCAGAAATAGTATTATACCATCATCCTCTATCAAATGTGAATAGTCTAATAAATCTAACACCATGCGAATGTTATTATGTATTAGTCGATTTGGAAGAAACCCAGATTGTGTATCACTAATAATTTTACCTATACCACCTTTAAGTCTACTAGCTAATGCATGAGTGAATATTTTGTAATCAATGTTAAGTAAAGTAATTGGTCTTAAATTATCAGTAAGAGTGTTGTCTTTTTTGGTTTAGGTATTAAAATAATTATAGCCTGTTTCATTGTAGTTAGTAGTGTATTACTTTCTAAACATTCTTTTAGTGCTTTAAAGAGCATTTCTCTCATATCATTCCAGAAAAAAGATAAAAGTTAGTTGCAAGTCCATCTTGACCTGGTGATTTACCTAAAGCCATTTTTTTAATAGCAGCATCAAGTTCTTCAATTTTTAAATCAGAGTCACATATCATTTTAAAATCTTCATCAATTTTAGGAATAAAATTATAGAATTTTTGAAGAAATTCTCAGAATCTTTCATGGAAAATGATGATGAATATAGGCTTTGATAAAATTTAAAAATCTCATTACTTATTTCTTTTGGATCAGTTACAATTTTATTATTTGGATTTAAGGTGGTAATTGCATTTCTGTCTACTTTTTTCTAATCTACTAAAATAAGAGCTGTTTTTTACACCAACTTCCATCCATTTTGCTCTAGATCGTATAAATGCCCCTTGTGCCCTATTTAAGTAGAAATCGTCTAATTTAGTTTGTAATCTAATCATTTCCTCTTTATTAGGTTCTAATAATAAATCCTTTTTACAACAATCATTAATGTCTTTTATCAGCTGTTTTTCTAATTCTTTTTGCTTATTACACAATATTTTACCATAATTAATTGAGTACATTCTCACTTTATCTCATCATTTGTCATGATTGAATATAAGATTTTTTTAACCATGTCACAAAAATATTCTTCTTTTAACAAGTTTGCATTAAAGTTCCAATATTTTTGCCTACATGTTTTTTCAGAGCCTGGGATCAGTGTGACAGTAATTACACAATGATCAGTTGTAGGAGCTGCAGAGATTTTAGCTTGCAAAACATATTTAAAAATTTCTTGGGTTACCAACCAAAAATCTATTCTTGATTTACAATTTCCATTGGGTCTAATCCATGAATATTGCCTTACTTCAGGGTTAACATGATTCCAAACGTCTATTAGTGAAGTATTAATACAAACATTTGTAATACATTCATTTCATAATAACCGTATTTTGTTGAAAATCTATCCATCCAATTATCAGGGACACAATTAAAGTCACCAACATATTTTCAGTTGGGAAAAATGTTTTCAACTCTCTAATAGTTTCTGAAATGCATTCCAGCAAAATTCTCTTTTTATATTGACCATTATATCCGTAAACATTTAGAAGAATCAGTGGAGTACCTTCAATCATCAAAACTGCAGCAATCCAGTGTCCATCCTTATCTTCTTTCACTTTAACTACTTTACCAGGACAGTTATTCAAGCATATCACTACGCCAGCAGATCTATAGTTCCATGACTAAACAGTATAGTATCACCCCATTGGTTTCTCCAGAAGGTTGAGTCCTCTGCGCTGGAATGTGTCTCTTGTAAAAATATACATTGTGCC